CTCAGCGTCTGTGTGAACACTGAACATGTGCTTTTCCAAATGTCACAGCCTTTTGTTCCCAAATGTAGTCCAAAATTTGTTGCAACCGTTTGAATGTTCTTGGATATTTAAATCCATTCAGGAAGACCTTTGTCTGTTTCATCCACGAAAATGGGCAAAACGCAGACGGGAAGTGGAAACATATGAGTGTTCTTCAAGAATGTTGTGGAAAAGAGCAATTGTTAACTCATGGCGGTCTCAGTTGTGATGCCGGATGTCTCAGAGTGTTCTCCATTGAGAACAATGAGAAAGCCCAAAAATCCTGGAAGCATCACCACGTCCTCCAAATATCTGCTCACAGATACTGCGGTTGGAAATACAGATTCCTGGGAGGGTTGGAAAAGGGGGGAGGAAAACTAAAAGGAATCCATTGTTCTGCATCAGAGAAGATAAGACAAAGAGGGCAAGTGGAGTCACATAGATATCTGTTGAAAAGGGAATGGAAGGGAGATGGATATTAAAGGCTACGATTTCAGAAAAGCACGTGGTCTCTTTGCAGATCACATCACACAACATCTTTCTATGACTGGTCAATGTTCACCAAGATTATTTAGCTCAAGCGGCAGCAGAGCTTTAATTGCTTTAAAGGGATAGTTCACCCAAAAATGTACATTTTGTCATTAGTTATTCACACTCATGTTGTTTCAAAGTAACATTCATTTTCAAACACAAATTGAGATATTTTGGATGCAATGCCAGAGCTCTCTGATCCTCTATAGACAGCAATGGTTCCAAGATGTTCGAAGCTTAGCTCAGATGAGTACCAACAACATCCTCAAAACAGTCCATGTGCAATAAGTAGTTCAAGCATAACTTTATGATGCTACGAGAATACTTTTATACTATATAATCACTGGGTTAGATGTCTGCAGTGTGACGCACAGTGCTCTGGTGACCAACCACTCTGGACAAACAATGAAGAGAAGAAGCTGTTGAATTATTTTACATTTTTTGTTCACATATATTTTGGACCGATATCTTTAGATCATTTTCATCTATATAACAAATATATGGATCCTAATTCTTTGGCCTCAATTTTTAGTGCGGTGAAAGAAATGGACAAATCAGCTAATCATGAAGAAGTCATTGCGTTCTCTTCATTATTAGTCAGATGAATGATTCTTCTGAGGTGAAAAATGTGAATTCACCATCCCACAAACACTGAAAATTAGAAGTGTTATCGCAACTTAAACTCGAGCACCTTAAATACACCATCCAAAAAGGCTCCACAAATTTTTTGTTCACAAAACCCTTTCTTGAATAGTCAGGGGTTACAATATCCTAATTGAAAGTTTACCCCATTGTTATTACATTAATGTCACCTCATAGCTGAAGAAATAAAGGTGACTTAACTTGAAGTTAACAAATTGAAACAAGGTTGTTGTGAGAAATTACAATGGTCAAATCTGCATAAATGTTGTCGATCACTTTTAGTTTTTTATTACTTTTAGAACTGTTTTGGTGCATTGAATTTTTTCACTTAGAGTGAAGGAATCAGAATGTTTTTAAAAACTACAAACTATGAAATTTGCCAGAGATGGGTTGCGGCTGGAAGGGCATCCACTGCGTAAAAATTTGCTGGATAAGTTGGTGGTTCATTCCGCTGTGTCGACCCCGGATTAATAAAGGGACTAAGCCGACAAGAAAGTGAATGAATGAACAAACGATGAAATGCACTGTATACTTTTATCCATCATGTTCGTCATTCATGTCAAAAACTAAATATGTTAGTTTTGTAGTCTACTAATATATATATATATTCCACATTTTGTTTCTTTCAATTATTTATGGTTGTAAATATCATTATAGGGCATTGATCTCTGCTTTCTCGACTTTTGATGTTGAAAATTCAACTCTACAGTTTAACAAAGTGACTTGTATTGACATTTTGAAATGATATAATGTTTAAGAAATAATATATAACAAAATAAGTCTGTAAAATGACAGAACATACTGGCAGCTTATTACAAGGCTTTTGTACCGTAATGTACAACACTAACTCAGACAATATACCACTTAAAACTATTACATTTTTAAGGTTAAAAGCTGTTGGAAGAAAGATCAAGGTCTCATAATGCATTTCACCAGCATAAAAAAAGGGGGGGGGGGGTAAAACATGAATCACAAAAGACAGAAAACTGCTAATTTACTGATATTTCTTTACAGTCTAGTTGACATATAATTGCAAATATTTTATAGTGAGCATAAAATGTTTAAAGGAGACCATTAAAAAAACGATTTACTGTTAATTTCACAAAGTATTGCAAGTAACTGAATTAAACATGAACATTTTAGGTAGAAAGTTCACCACGTTTAAATAGAAACGTACTGCAAAAAATGATTTACACACCTCCACAAATGACCTTATTATAACTGTGTTTTTGAATGTCTTCTTTCAGAAGTGAAAACTTCTACTGAACTTTCACTTTTCTGTATAACATTGAGTAATCATTCTCAAAATTGATCTGATGTTCATAAATGATTGTTATCAGATAACGGGGAAAAGGAAGTGACCCCATAAGTGATCTGTTAATGATCTAATGGGAAACCAGATAGTAATGACAGAGATATGCTTTCTTGTGGTCCAAGCTGTCAAGATGTTCCCCACTTAAGTTATTCTGCTTTCACTTACATCATGGATCAATATCATGAAATATTTATTAACCTCCACTCAAAGAAAGACCTACTGAGATTACGGCATTACCCTTTCATGTAAACGACGCAACTTCCAGTATGCTGTTATGGCAAAGTTGGATGATTTTAATAACTAAACAGCATGCAGTAATTATTGAAAAAGCCATAAATAAATAAGTAATTCTCCAAAGCAAAAATGAGCACAGAGCAATGGTTGTTTGTGCGCTAAGGCAGCTCTTTGAAGTCAATGCTGGTCAACACATCTGGCGTCTATTGAATAAAGCTGTTGTTTGTTGAATTGTGTGCATATGTGTGTGTGTGTGTGTGTGTGTGTGTGTGTGTGTGTGTGTGTGTGTGTGTGTGTGTGTGTGTGTGTGTGTGTGTGTGTGTGTGTGTGTGTGTGTGTCCATATCACTACTGTAAGGTTTGGTGGAAAACTCGAGGATGTATGCGGTCACTTTACAGTGTGTAGTATTGTTACACCATGTGTATATGTACTGTACAAACACAGGTCTGAGCATCAACAAATCAAAGATCAGAGAAATCAGCTTTCTTCTTTCCTCTTGCAAACTTCAAAGCAGTTTACTGTGGTTCTTAGGTGATGTAAAACAGACTTGCATGTGGTTAACAATTAAAATATTTAGCCATAATTTGAAAGATTGTGTCCAAAACACAACCAGAGACCCTTGTATCTAAGTGGTGAAGGAAGTTGTTAAAAGAGCACTCCACTTTTTTTTTGGTAATAGGCTCGTTTTACAACTCCCCTAGAGGTATAGAGCGGAGTTCTAACATTTTTGTATCCATTCAACTTATGTCAGGGTCTGGTAGGAGCACTTTTAGCTTAGCATAAATCATTGAATCGGATTAGACCATTAGCATGTCGCTCTTTTTACTTATTTAAAATGAGCTGAAATAATACAATTCTTTTCTCAGAGATGGGTTGCGGCTGGAAGGGCATCCACTGTGTAAAAAACGTGCTGGATAAGTTGGCAGTTCATTCCGCTGTGGCGACCCCGGATTATTAAGGGACTAAGCCGACAAGAAAATGAATAAATGAATAATACAATTCTTGAGTTTTTTTTTTTTTTCATTCTTAATTCTCCATATATTTTTATTGTTTTATATTCAATCCACTTAAATTTGTAAAAACAATTAAGTTAACATAATCAATTTGTGTTGGGACAACATTAATGTAACTACACACACACAAAAAAAAAATGTATTTTGAGTTTAGATTCTTTGCCTAAGCCCAGACTTGATCAATCGGGCCAATATTTTCTGCCACTATCTTCGGGCCAGGTGGACCGAGATCAAGCTTTTTTTTTTTTTTTTTTGTGATTACTTAATTAGCCTATTTGCGTGGAGAGGGATAAACAAATCTATTATGAAAGCGTTCAATTGAGAACTTTAGTACTGTTCGTGCTCATTTAGGACAAAACTATTTGTGTTTAAAATAAAAGATGCCAGGACAGACATGTTTACATATAATTAAGTGTATTAGTCCGTTTAAAACACACCCAAATCCCAAAAAGTCCAAAGTCTTCAAAATCTTTTGCACTACAGAATGTTACGTTTACACATCCATGCACAAATTGCATGTAAACACATTAGCCATTCATTCGTTTTCTTTTCGGCTCAGTCCCTTTATTAATCAGGGGTCACCACAGTGGAATGAACCACTAACTTGTCCCGTAGGTTTTTACGCAGCGGATGCCCTTCCAGCCGCACCCCATCTCTGGGAAACATCCACACACACTTATTTACACTCATACACTACGGGCAATTTATCCTACCCAATTCACCTGTACCACATGTCTTTCGATTGTGGGGGAAACCGGAGCACCCGGAGGAAACCCACACAAACACAGAGAAGAACATGAAAACTCTACACAGAAACGCCAACTGACCTAGCCGAGGCTCGGACCAGCAACCTTCTTGCTGTGAGGTGACAACACTAGCCACTGCGTCGCCACACCTGAGCCATTCGCATCATAATACTCACTACTCACTATTCTTGAGTATGTTTAAAAGGTCTTTAACTCCTACTTTGGGTAATATTTACAAATACTTTTACTCACACTACATTTTTGGGCAAGTAATGGTACTTTTACTTGTGTGATTTTTCAGTACTCTTTCCACCACTGACTAGGTCAGACAGAAACTTTATACATCGGCTGAAAAGATTCAAAAGTCGTAAATATCAACTGTTTAACTCTAGGGGAGTTGTAAAATAAGCAAACTTTTCCCACAAAAAAAGAGGTGCTCCTTTTAAATTGTTATGCAAAATGAGGCAAGGACAAGAAATAGAATTAGGAGCAAGTGACTGATTTTCACATTATAGTTTATTACAAGGGTTTATAAAATTACCAAGTACATTTAAGAATCACTGTAACAAAAAAAGAGAGGAAAAAAAACATTCATATTTGAACTAAGTGAAATGTGGGCTTGTAAAAAGGAATAAAATATATGTACAGACAAACGCAACAATCGACAAAAGAACAGAACATGTAGTCAAATGGCACTCAAAATAAACATACCTCGCAAGTGCTTCTGTTTATTAATAAGAACTAAATGCAATGATAATAATGATAAACAAAAGAAAATTATAATTATTACAATAAGATAAAACCATATTAACATTTAAACACTGTGTACAATACAGTATAACTGAAATCCATATCATTCTAAATAGAACAGTATTTACCAACAGACTTGACTTATACTAGAACTCTATTCTGAAATATAACAAAAATAGCACTTAAAATAAGATTTATTACAATAATATTAATAGCAAGGATATTAGGATATTAGACGATGCAAATATGCTTTACCCATGGCTTTCTAATAGTGAAATTCCACTTGCTTAGAAACAGCAAAAACCGTAGCTGAAGGTGGCGATTTAGTCTCTGTTAGAAAACGGTACACTGAAAGCAGCAGACATTATTTTAATTCATAAAAAAAGATCAGTGGCATATTTTATAAAAAGAAAAGTCCTTCTGTTAGAGGAAGTGATGGAGGATTGAGTCCCATTGCCTCTCAAACTTTCAAGTCCTTTCAGAGGCATCTCATCTTCTAATATATATATATATATAGAGTTAATAACTGATGAGTTTCATCATCGCATTTCTTCTTATATCGAAATGGAGCAGCAGGAGAAAAAAAGAAGCCTTCCTCTTTGCACTCTGCTCCATCATATAAATAAAAAGCGGCTCCCAAAGCAGCATATACGACTTGTTTTTTGTTTTTTTTTCTTTTTTTCATAAATGTCTTCCGATATAAAATCTGCAGCAGGAACAAGTCCCTCATTCCCTCTATAGCTTGTTTTTGAGAGCCCGCACAAGATCATTCCTTCTCATATTCTCCTTTTATATATGTCTTTCTTCATCCCCTTTTCATGCTCTCTTAGCCAGAATATTATGAATTGTCACTTATGTACAGAGCGTGTATAACAGGTACTGGGTTAGTATGAAAGCTCCTTCTGTACTGCAAACACACACCTGAGTAAATTACACAATCCTCCCATTCATTCTAGTTTACACTGCCTACTCCGACTCCTAATATCTTAGCTGAGTAACAACCTGTCCACGCACGCAAACAGGCACACACACACACATATTTACACACAAACACGTACTGTATATACACATAAATGAACTCACCATCCAAACACTCACACTCAAAAACAATTTCAAGACTGATTCGTCCAGAGCCGTCCTGCGCTGGCCATACCCTGTGACTTATAAAACTGTCCTTTTAACCTCTTTCCGGAAACCTTCCTCTTGTGCTCTCCTGATGTAGCGATACGTTCATATATATAATTTTGATATACTTCTTTACAAATGATAGACTATACATTTTTGGCAAAACGAGAGTCTTTTTTTTTTTCGGAAGCTTCAGCTCGAGTTTGTCACACAGTGGCGTCAAGCATTTCATCCGACTTTGCCATGATCTGGTTCTGATTGGAGTCGAGGCCGAAGAATTTGACGCGGAGGCCGTCGGTCGGATGGACCACAGGGACAGAGATCATTCGTGGGAATGTTCTGGTTGACAGCTCAAACCGGCTGCCTCCAGCGAGCTCCACAGCCAGCAGTTTGAGGAAAAGAGTGGCCAGCTGTTTACCAAGGCAGGAACGAACGCCACCACCAAAGGGCAGGTAGTGAAAGCGGCCCTCGCGGTCCTCGCTGCGCTCGGGGCTGAATCGATCTGGGTCAAAGGCCTCGACGTCCTTGAACACAGCCGAGGTGTCATGGGTGTCGCGGATACTGTACATCACACTCCAGCCTTTAGGAACCTGGACTCCCTGAGGAGCAGATGACAATAGATTTAAGTAATGTTCATTCATTTTACTTTTTTTCTTTCCTTCTGCTTAGTCCCTCATATATCAGGGGTCACCACAGCAGAATGAAGCATGCAAAATATCATGTTAAAAAATTTTTTTTAATGTAAAATACAAGATAAAAGCTAAGCAGAAATAGAAAAAGTTGAAAACACTTATAGTATAATATTAATAGAGCACAACAAAAATTACTAAAATCTGTACACCTTCAGAGAGTTTTAAAGAAAAATTTAAGTTACTAAAAAAATAGGGTGTATGCACAGCTAGTGTTTCTTCTCATACTGAAAAATGTACGGTGAACAGTTAATGTGACTTTTTTACAGTATCGATGTTGTAATGCGATTAAAATATAATCAGTTAAATAGACTTTAGAGTTCATTTAGTTGTTCAATTATTAAATGAGATGAAAAGCCATTTACACGCAAGTGCCTGTCAGGATTAGCGCAGAAACTCCATTGAATATACTGGGGTAAAATAAACGTTCATATTTTAAAGGCATGATGTGAAACAATGTAATTTACTGCATTGCTTCTTGTACATTCTGAGACCCACTTTCTGTTGTACATCAATCAGGCAGTTGAGATTGTTGATTTTAAAAGAAAGCAGATCTTAAATGTCCCGATTTTGTACTGGCATACAGTCCATTGGAAGCGCTTGATACAGGTTACTGAAAAAATAAAAGTTCTTCCGCATACTTCTGCATATACCCTGTTATATAAAAATAGCAAGAGCACAAAATGTTTAACCCAAATTTTGGTAATACACAAAGTCAGCGGCTGAGTTAGGACTTTAACTTTTAAAAAATAACCAAGCAGTCCATATTTTAACCAAAATTTGGGTTTAAACATTCCAGATTTTTTATGTACTAACTCCTGTCCACCAAAAAAATCTTTATCTAAATATTATTATACAAAGTATAATTAGTTTTATCAAATTTAAATATTAAATAAACAATAATATGTCTGACTACTAAAATACTAAAAAACTAAAATAGCACTGGTTACATTAACAACAATTAAAAGCACAAGAAAAAGCCTAGTAGAAATAGAATACACTTATAGTAAAATAGAAATAATTAGAATCTGTAAACCTTTAGAGATGGAGCTTAAAATTGTATATTAAAACATTTTTTGGGAAAAAAAAATATTGAAGTTGTAAATAAAAAATATTTAAAAACAGCAAGAGCACAAAATAATGTTAACCCAGGTTTTAGTAATACATACACAAAGCCAGCAATCTGGGTTTAAACCAAAATTTGGGTTAAAATATAGACTGCTTGGAGAATTGTTTTAAGTACTAACACCTGTGCACCTCAAAAAATGGTTGAAATATTACACATATTTTAACAAATTATTTAAAATTGAAAAATATTAAATAAATGATAACAAATCTGACTACTAAAATACCAGAAACTAAAATAGCACGGGTTACATTAAAAACCATTAAAAGCAACCATTAAAATCACCCAAAAATGGGAATCCTGACATAATTTGTTTATTTGCATGCCATTCCAAAGTAGTTATTTCCCCCTTTTTTTTTTTTTACATAATAAAAAATTTCTCTGATCCAAAACAATAAACAACCCCACACACACACACACAAATTGCACCTTTCTACAGTGCTTTACACAAGGATAAAATAATATTTAAATAAGTCAAATAATAAACTTTCTTCATTGTATGCATACACATTTATATATTTTTTGGGTCAAAATAGACTTTCTGTAAATCCTCAACAACTTACATCCAGCTCAAAGGTTTGAGTGGCTATTCTGTATCCTCCTGACACTGGGGCGAAGAGACGTAGGACCTCTTTAATGACACAGTCCAGGTACTTTAGGCTGATGATGCTGTCCAACCGCAGCTCCCCCTGACACAGACAGCCGTCATGAAGAAGACCACAGCTCCGCAGCTCTTCACGCAGCTTCTCCAGCACCGCAGGGTGACGCAGCAGCTGCATCACCAGAGACGTGCTGGCGCTGGCTGTAGTGGCAAACGCTGCAAAAATCAGCTCAATAGTGGACTCCTGAGGGACAAACAGAGATGATTTGGTCACTAAATGACACAGATATGTTGACAAAATTTGTCTGTTTGTGGTTTAAAGCATTCTGTATAACTTAAAGATGGTGGCAGCTTTCAGTGTTGTGAAATCTGATAGGCGGAGTTGAAACATTTCTTTTGTTGAACCAAAGGGGTCATGAACTGCCCATTTTAATTATTTTGTACATTTCTCTATACATTTTTACATAAAAAAAAAAATAAACTATTTAGACGTAATAGACTGTTTACTGTCCTGTTTTGATCCCCTTCATCAGAACATACTATTTGAATAGGTGTAGTAGATAATAGTAAATACTGGTATAATTGGCTAACAATTTTTCATATTTAAACATTTTTTGTGCTTTGCCTGTAAGTTTTTTATTCTTGTACATTTCTGAATGTATGTTTAACACCAGGTGACACGATGGCTCAGTGGTTAGCACTGTCGCCTCACACCAAGAAGGTCGCTGGTTCGAGTCACAGCTTGGTCAGTTGGCATTTCTGTGTGGAGTTTGCATGTTCTCCCCATGTTGGCATGGATTTCCTATAGGTGCTGCGGTTTCCCCCTCAGTCCAAAGACATGCGCTATAGGTGAATTGAATAAAGTAAATTGGTCATAGTGTATGTGTGTGCATGAGTGTGTATGGATGTATCCAGAGGGAAATGAGTGAATGAACGTTTGAAACAATATATCAATGATTTATACAACTGTGACTAAGGTTTTAGGATTTGTTTATATCTGCAGCCTAAAATGACATTGTATCTCAAAACGTATCGCATTATTTGCTTCTATACTTGTGTATTGTTGTGAAAATACATAAACATTTAAATTTTCTTGCCAGTTTTTTTTTTCTTGGACTCCAAAACCCTGGTGGTTGACTGATTAATAAGGAATACATAACAAATCATAGATATATAATGTGCAGAGATGGGTGTAACGCATTCCACAGTAGCGTGTTACTGTATTCTAATTACATTTTTGAGGAACGCAGTAATATAACAAGTTTCAATTTAAATTTGTGTAATTTGATTACAGTTACTAAAGTCAATGTAATTGCATTACTTATGTTACAAATGTAGTTTTTAGAAGAAGAAAATACTTCTTTTAAATTACATTTTCTGCGAGCTGAAATGGCTGATGACGAGAGTGGTTGCTTCTTCAAGTGAAAACACAGACATTACTTTGATTTCATTGAGCATAAAAACTAAAATATTGTTGTGAACTGCAGTCTATGTGAACTTTCGACTGCTTTTAACTCGACCAGCAACTTGTTCAAGCATTTGAACAGCAAGCATTCTACGACAATACTCGTCATAAAGGAGGACCCCGGCACCCAAAAACATGGCGGCCCAACTCAGCTTAACTAAATAGATTTTTTTTTTGTGCAGGATCAGGAGTGAAAGTATCTTCTTAATGTGAAAAGAGGCATAGCTGCTTTTGGGACCGTTCACATATCGCGTCTTTTGTCAAGCTGCTGTGATTAACCCATTGTAATGTATTTCAGAGAATAAATAATAATAATAACAGAGAATAGTTCATTAAATTACTAAAAGAGCTGCAGTTTATTTTGTATTTTATAGGTATATTTTATAATTTAAAAGTAACTTCAAAGTAAAGTAATTAGTATTCCGATTACTTTTTCCATGAAGTAATTAGTATTGTAATCAGATTACAATTTTCCAGTAGTAATCAGTAGTTTGTAATCTGTTACTTTTTTAAAGTAACTTACCCAACACTGAAATATGTAATAACAAACCACTTGGTACTGTAACACGTAAAAAAATCTGCGTCAGATTGTGTCTTGTTAAACATATACACAGTAAAATGAAGTGAACCGAGCACCATGTACATACATGATAAAAAAAATGGATTGCAAAAACTGAGCTGTCTTTTTGTAAGTCTGATGACTAATTTAGTTTTTGGCCATCCTTAAATTTATTTATTAGATTTGTCTCCTACATTATTACCAAAAGCACAAATTTAGCCTTGTTTTAGCCAAGCCATTTCGATGTTTATTTAACACTAAGTTGCTTGATGGGGACTTATATGTCAAAAGATTTAGACAATTTAGATTTCTCAGTTCATAACCCTTTCAATAATCTTTAGGAAAATTGTGATAGATTTAGTTCTTTTGCTACTTTACGCATATTTTTTACTTTCAATTTTAATCACTTGCATGCATTCTTGCAGAACACAATATATTAGCATTTTAGAAAATGTATTTATTGTCTCTAGTCAGCCACATCACCGCAATCTCCCAACCCCAAATTCTTAAGATGGAGCTTCTTTATTTCTTTCTCTCTTTTTCTTTCATTGAGGCTTGGCAGCCATCTTACACAAGTTTTTTTTTCTCTCTCCTCTTTCTGCCTTCCTTTTTTTAACTGCTTGCCAGTGAGTTGGTGTTGACAGGCTGGGGAGCCATGCACCCCTGCCGCCACTGTCTGAGAACCCTTATCCACCTTAGAGAAGAAAAACGCTAGAATAACCAGGTAAGAGTGGGCTACAGGGAAGCATTTATTGACTGTTATCTGTGTCATTAAATGTCTGTCATCCAAGTTTGGCCTTGCGACTAGAGAACTGAGCAGGAGAGAGAGAGATGAGAGCAGTCAGTGGGTAAAGTGTGCTGTCAAGCAGTCACTGCAAGCCTCTCATTATCAGAGTGTTGACTTCCTTTTCTGTTCTAATATGTAATCAAATGATCACAGTTTGACCTCACATTGAAAACATGATGATCTGCTGAAAGGAAAATTAGCAATATAAAGAGACTAGGACGATGACTATGTGCTGAAAGGCAAGACAAGTTTGACAAAAATGTCATTCAAGTACTCCATAATTGTATCTCTTTTTTCAGATTTAATTTCTACATTCCATTTTGTTATACTATGGAAGTTTTAGCAGCTTGTTGATTTTTGTTTTTCTTCCAAATTCCATTTTGGTTTTTCCAAATTTAAACTTTTAATTTGAGGAGTTTTTATGAAGTACTGGATATGACTATTTTTTCTGATGTAAGATTGTAAAATGCTTGTAAAGGCATTTCAACTCTCAAGATCAGTTTAGGTCCAAATTTGGTAAGAGAGCATCAATTTAACCCATAACATTTCTCTTGCCTCACATTAACTAATTCATCATAAGGCTACAGTCACTACCATCATTTGCTGATTACTTTTTAGAACAGCCTTCCAAAGAAACCTGTGAGCCCTTAAAATATTATCTGGATAGTCAACAAGTGTAGTGTCCTGCTCACCTTGAGCTCCTGCATTGTAAGCTCCGTGTTGTTCTCCTTGGCGCTTTCTAGAAGCACATCAAGAGCATCAGTGTAATCTTTCCCCTGTGTGTGGAGTGGTTTCTCTCTGATGGCTTTCTCTATGCTTTTTTGGAGTGAGTCTCTTGCTCGAATACCCTGCAAACAAAACAAGTTTGTTAGCTTAAGTTTATAGAGACCATCTCTATTTTGACAATACACAATAGCTCTGTTTTTATTCAAAGATGTAAATTTGTCTAATGCACAAACCTGGATGGTTGCATAAAACATTTGAAAATGAGACGAAGAAAACAAAATCGTCACTTCCTGATAAGCTAGCAGCAAATATCAAAAATGAGCATTGTACAATGACCAAAACAACATTTCAGATGTTTTATGATGTGGTTGGTCCACTGGTTTGTCTATAAATACATTCACATCATGTCCATTTTTATGGAGCCAGATCAGTCTCAAAAATAATATATTTACTAAATAAAATTCAAACATGCACAGCACCATTCACATTTACAAAATACAATTTTTAAATTCAAAACATTCATTAATACAACACACAGTTTGTGAATTCACAAGTAAAAATTGTAAATATTTTTGAGTCAAATAAATTGGATTTGTGTGTTTACGAATCGTGTTTTTTAAATTGAAAATTGTATTTGTGTATTTTTATATCGTGTTTGAATTTCGGAATCGCTTATGTGTATTTATAAATCATGTTTTGAATTTACGAATTGGATTTGTGTAATTTTATATCGTGTTTTGAATTTCGGAATTGCTTCTGTGTAATTACAAATAATCTTTTGATTTTCCGAATTGGACTTGTGTATTTTTGAATCATGTTTTGAATTTACGAATTTGATTTGTATATTTACAAACCGTGTTTTGAAATTACGAATTTGGATTTGTGTATTTTGAATTTGTGTTTTGAGTTTCGCAATTGCATCTGTGTAATTACGAATCATGTTTTGCTTTTGCAAATTGGATTTGTGTATTTTTGAACAGTGTTTTGAATTTACAAATTTTTTTTTTTTTTTTTTTTGTAAATGTACTAGTTTTTTGAGACTTTATATTTTTATCAGCACATCGGTTAAAAAAATTTTTCGATAGACTTGCTGGAAATTATTTTCTATTGTAGTTTATACACATTTTTTCTTATTGGATAAAAAGTTAGTTCTACTCAGTTGTGTGCATATATATATATATATATATATATATATTTTTTTTTTTTTGTCATATTCCAAAATGTGTATGAAAACAGGTAGATGAAAACATACTATAGCTATTGACATTTTACCTTTCTGTAACCACTAAATGGCAGGTCGATGGGAAGACTGAAGACGTTCTCCACAAACTCCTGGAAGGTGCTGAACAAACAGTGCATCTCTTCTTCTGGGATGCGGAAACCCAGGAGCACGCGTACTGCCATGTTGAATGATAGCCGCTGGGACTCGCGATACACATTGATGGGGTCAGGATTGGAGCTCCACACACGTAGGGTCTCCTGAATGACCTGCTGGATCTTGGGCAGGTAGCTTTCCAGAGCCTCATGGCTAAAAACTTTAGCAAAGATCTGAGGAAAAACACAAATAAACAAGTGCAGTCAGTCTTCTGTGAAGATTACTTAATGTTTGCATTAACTGGGTAAAAGGGATAAGGGTGTTTTAAGCTTCAATAATGGTGTAACACAGCTTGTATTTTTTAAGGACATTTGTACATTTATTACTATATTTCATTCTAGTTTTAGAGCGAATGCATAATACATTTCATTGTCATTCAGTGAAACCATAACTTATATTTAAAATATAAATGTGGCATATTTAAAATATCTGTCATATTTAAAAACAAATTATTTGTCATTTTAAATCTTTTTACTTTGCAATAACACTTTAAACCATACCCATGTATTAGCTACAATACATAAATGGTTTTAAAAAAAAGTTTAATAACTGTATGTTTACACTGAATAACTGCACAATATTTCACCCACGTTTTGGCATTTTATTTTCAATAATTTTATTTAAAACATTAGACATTATGGTTGCATTTTGTGTCTCCTCTTTATGCATAAAATCCCCTGTAATCACCAATGCTGGACATTTGGCCTTGAACTCATTTCAACACGATTTTCCAAAGCACTACACATTTATTTTTTACTTAGCCCTGCAGAACTTCACTTCCCACAATGCAGCTGGCCATGAATCACTCATCCATCACAATCCAACATGTCTGTGCTCCACAGGCAAGAAATGTCATGAAAATATTATCCTGAAGCCCCAGTCGGCACCTAAAGGCCAAGCTTATTTGTCTTATAGCTTGAAGCATGGAACATTCTCATTAATTCTGCAGGCCTCGCTATTTTTGACCTTCTCGTACTCTTAAATAACACTCGCCTACCTCCACCTCTCGCCTTGAATATCTGAGAGAGTTTCCCTCTGCATCAGCAGCGAGGGCGAAAGGACGAAGGTAAGATTTTCCTGGCCACAGCAGCGCATTTCTAATGTGCCTCAGTTGTGCTGGGTTGTTTAGTCAAATAACATCCATGTTCCAGTGCCGGTGACTAACAATAGCACTTTTTATATGCCATCTCATTCCAAATACCTCGTCTCCACCCCGCTTTTTTTCCACAGTAGTAAAGGGAAGGGGTGGAGAGCCGTGTATCCTCCTCCTGTCTCTCCTCACGTCTGACGTTCTTTGCCAAGACCCATTTCTTTGTGTCTCCTTTCTGTGCTGTTCTCCGCAGACACACTTCTTTATCTCTTAACTCCTATATATCTAGTTTTTCTTTGTATTTTATACACAGATTTATCCATCCATGCCACTACATTACTTACATCCTTTTTTATTTTTTCTTTAAAAAGAATTTGTGGCTACAAGCATGTTTGCATAGCATGCGTAGCTCTTAGCGAATACCCAGAAATTGATACATTGCGCTACAACACTATATTTATGCTGCTTATTGGTTTGGGATTTTTGGGAAGCTTACTATTTTCCTTTAGCGAGTCTTTGCGTAGTAGACAGACGTCAGTCAAGCTCTACTAATGCCAGTCTCCATTATACAGGATTTTGAACACTACTGGAAAAAAAACAGCCGCCTGTCTTCATTACAAAACGTGACTTCTTGTACTGCACTTTCCACACACACACACACACACACACACACACACACACACACACACACACACACACACACACACACAGCCTTTTAAAGCTCCCCCACCCTAATAATTTCCATATGTCTTAAATTATATGAAACTGCTCAAAGCTGCTGGTTTGACCAGAATGTAAAGACCTCTTTATTCTCTCCCCCAAACCATTCACTTTCTTTTACACTTCTCTCCACTTTTCCAATCTCTCCCTCTCTCTCTTTTCGCTCATCCCTGCTGACTTAAACAAAATCCCTCATTCACAGCGAGAGCACTTTGTGTTGGCAGGTAAGCGCAAAATTTAGATCCTCTGCCCTCTACTGGCCAACCTAATAAATTCAACACCTTTCCAAATCCACTGCTTGACAGCTTTAGGTTTGATAGGCTATTATGTTTGCTTCTAGTAGTATACTCACTAAACTGTTGTGCATAGTGTTAGTGTTCTAAGATATAGTTAAAGATATGAAGGAACTTATTTGTTAGGAATTTCCATTTATACCAAGCCAGTAAATAAAACTTGTAGTCTTCTAGAAAATAATTTCCTAAGGTCACAGAGATATTTACGCTGACATTTCTCTAGTACATGTAAGTGTGTAGCAGTTATGTCATTCTTCATTTTATACTAAATAATCTTCTTTTAAGGACACAGGACATACTAAATGCTTTGACTCTTCAGTCTCTGATATAACTTAATCAAAATCGAAGAACAAACTGGTGGGATGTATTTTATATATTTTTGCCAAAACAAAGTTTGTTTCAGAAGTTTGAAACTGCTAAACAAAGAACTACTCATGGTGGCATTCGCTCTGACTGGTAAACACATTTTAATTCCCATTGGTCCATGGAAATTACGTAATAGGTAGGTGTGCAATGAGGCCCTGCCCTCTTTGAGGTAGAAATCTTTTCTGGTTCATTTCTTCTGTTCAGTCTGTCAAGGTCGGACATCCAAAAGTAAAACATAAACACCTAAGGGATGCTTCATGGTATAACTTGAAGTATAATTATAATAGCAAGCAGCACTGGTGCTTTTTTTTTTACATGTTTTATATTGTAAATTTGCTTGCTTTAAACCAGTCACAGAAAATAATGCTATAAATGTGATGTGACTTGGTTTGAGTGCCACACCACTGAGTTTGTGCATACATCCTTATTTCTCTGCTATTATCAGATACTTTAAATGCAAACAGCACATATTTGCATACTCATCAAAATTATTCTCAGCATTATGAAATGCATCGGAATGCTCGCTAACAACATACCATTGCTCATGTGTGTTTTGAGCTTCGTTTTACCTTAAACAGAGAAAAAAAAGTACAAGTATGTGTGTATTGGGTCCCAATTGATGTAAACAGCAAAATATAGGCTATCCAATGCTGTCCGTCCCCAGAGAGATTGAAGATCAAATGAAAATATATATTTGACATTAGTGTGGAGAGCGAGACATTGAAACCTGTCTGAAGGAGGTCTTTGTCTGCCTGAGACTGGCTGACTAATTAGCAGTCATTAGGGGGTTTGCGTGAGGCCCTGGACCTGGAGGATTAACCAGACTGATTACACCCCACTGACCCCTCAATGGAACAGGTGTGTGATGGGGTGAAACTTAAGCCTCCAAGGGACCGAAGAGAACCAGGGTCCACAAAAAAAAGCTATTTTGTTCCTGAACAATAGCTTGGATTTGAGCAGAAGCTAGTTATGAGCATAATCCTCCATGTGGTCATTGTGAGCAGACTGTTATGGGTGATAACAGTGAGCGGGGGCCAAGGCATTGTGGGTATCTGTCTCCAAATCTTGGCAATCTTTTTCTGCATCCATTTGACCTTCTATCTTGTTTTCTTTCGCTCCATCTCTCATTTTTATTCTCTATTTTTTCTTTCGATGACTCAAAACAATTCAAGACTTGCAAATGAAACACCAAAACTGTCCCATTAGGAGATAAGGACAGTTTCCAGTACATTTTAGGGTTGCACGATTAATCAATGCTGATATTCATGTACATTTTGTCAGTACTTCCAGTTGTATAATCAGTAGTAACTCTCCAGCATTTGATTTGAGAGGAAGCACCATTTACAACACAGTGTCACAGTAATGCAATGCAATATCATGGACAATGTAATTGTATGATAACGAAATTGAGGATAATTTTACTGCAATAATAACAGATGTTTATTTATCTTTTCATTAAACTACAGCTCTATGTTAAAGCTACATCTGAAAGCACATGAAAATACCACATTTATTACATGTTTTACTCCAAACATGCTTCATAACTTTAGTAGAATGTTTAAAATAATGATTACTAGTCACATTGGATCAATGGAAGAAAATTAATCTTCTATTTGTTCAGAAAACTAGGCCTTTTAGATTGTATTGTAGTTTCTGCACTAAGAGCACCCTCTAGTATTCACCGGAGATTTATCACTTATCACAGAACTGTGCCTTCCTTACAAGATGTACATGACATCTGCAGCTTTTCTTTATTCATCAGGGGTGTCAAAATTAATTGTTTCTTCAGTGCACAGCATAGCAGACACTGACAATAATCATAACCGGTTATTGTGTACTGACATCATTTATTTTATTTGCGATATGTTGTCGTAACTTACTATGGTGTAAGAGGTGACCGCGAGTATTTACAATGCTCCAATTACTTAAAAACGCAGAAACTGTGCATAATTTCACTGCGTGTGTGTTTGCTGGACAGTCTTTTACTGACACAGAAGAAGCCCCTGTTTCACTGCGATTGAGAGAATGAAAGTAAACTCCGTTTCTCTATCTCTCACTGTGGCCCATTTGACCTCCTGGCATGACTTATTCTCTCCTCTTGGCTGTTACAGCGATACTTCTGGATACAGACACGAGCGCGTGTCTGCAGAGTTTTCTCCACCGTGCCTATCATGGATCAGCTGTGATCACCGCTGCCGTTTATCAGTGTCACTCATCTGTGAAAAGCTCCAGCACGCAAGAGCCAATCGCAGCCCTTTTTGTTAAGCGTGTGACCAATCAAAGGGGTGTAAGAAAGAACTTGTTAGACAAGGCTATATTTGTATATATAAATATTTATATTTATTTATTTGCTATAAATGCTTGTGTTGTCTAAAGGTTTATATATCTGACTGTTTGTGTCAAAGGACAAAATTGTATTACAAATTGTATATAAATATAATTATACATTTTACAACAAGAATTGCTGTGCTGTGAAAAAAAATATAAAACTGTGTATGGAAAGCATCATCAATGCAATGTGATGCACTGAGATATCGAATTGAACCGAATCAATGGCATGATAATCGGAACCGAACCGAACTGAACCATGAGACCAGTGTAGGTTCACACCTCTATTATTCATAATTGTGAATTTATCTAGAATTAGCCCAGCCCTAATCAGACTAATAAACAACTGGACATTGACCTTACCTTCCTCCTTTTGCGATGGATGTCTCCTATTGAGTTGGCCAAACTGTTTGGCCCCAGAAGAGTGCTGGTGCTTTGGGGCCAGTCCACAGTGACCAGGCTGTGCTCTCCCATAAGAACCTTACGCACATTCTCTGCCCCAGTGACCCGGATCAGCGGCCGTCCCAGTAGATGAGTCTTGAATACATTCCCATACTTCTGTCTTCTGGATGCATGGAAACCTGCACCCTGCAAAACAGGTGTGGAAAGAAGAAATTCCATTAGGTGTAGATACTAAGAAGAACTGATTCAGAGGACAGAAAGATTAGCAAAATTTTCATGGGTATAATTGTGACCCACATTTGTTAAATTGACAAGATGATTTGCAGTTGGTTTAGATCTAATTAAATGAGACAACAGTGAATAGCAGGAAATCAGGTTTGACGTTTCAGTACATTATGCGCATTCAGTTTAGCAGAAGGATGATTTTGTTGTAGTTAGATCAAAGAAAATTCAGTTAGGTTTGATATGGATATCAGTGTGGAAAGATGTGATTTACTGTAGAACATCTATACCAACACCACTAAGTCAAAAGGTTAAACTAGTTTTCCCCGACATATTTTTTAAACGCTATATGTGGGCAGTAAATTGAGGAGGGAAAACAGGTCTAGAAGATGGAAATTTTTTTTTTTTTTTACTTAAAGGGCAGCAGTTTTGAACACTGTGTCATGTATGTTTTATTTAAAATGAAACTAATCAGATGCCGCTCTGTGGCACGGCAGAAATCCTGAATGTCCTGAGTCGCTGCTGGGCATTGGAGACAGCCGCCAACTTGTGGTGCCAGTGTGTGTACCCCCTAAAGCCAAAAGCAAGATAAAGCCAATACATTTGGATCAACTCCTAGTGGTTGACTATAGTACCCCTCAAAAACCCCACCATCGTCATGTACATATGAGGAGTGAGCCAGTATTACAATAATGTTCAAGTGTAATATTTTTCTTTTAGGTTATTTTAGGCTATAAAAACAGGATGTTGTGTCATAATTGTGTGATTGTGATCTGCAGGAGTTTGGTAAAGACATTGATATCATGGATTCATTGGTTTCATTGGTGCAGAATAAAATGGAAAAACACAAAGCAAATGTAACAAGGAAACGATTCTGAAAATAACATAGTAACTTTAAGGCGGCATGGTGGTTTAGTGGTTAGCACTGTTGTCTCATAGCCAGAAAGTCAATGCTTTGAGTGCTGGCTGGGCAAGCAGTCATTTTAATGTGTAGTTTGCACGTTCCCCTGTGTTCGCGTGGATCTCCTCAAATCAAGGACTAAGCCGAAAGATAGAGAGTAAGTGATATAGTCAATTTAAATGTGTTTACTATATGTAAAAATGTCATTATAAGATACATTTCAGCCAAACACATCTGTCGATTTGTAAAGTCGTTTATCTTTTGTAGTGAATTGCAGCTAGGCTTTTAGGTGCTGTACTGCCAGCATTGCAGGCTAAAGGGCTTCTCTCTGAATATTACACATGTAATGAGGTGTTAGGGCTAATAGGTATTTGTTATAAAGGGTGTTAGCCTCGTGGGATAAGCCCGCTGGTTTGTTTTGGTATTGTAGGGGCATAGGGTCCCGTTCACAGAATTCTTTATGCAATTGGGTTAACTTCGGCTAAGAAGGGGCTCAAGCTTAGCCTTAAGGATCACACTGAGAAAAGTGATCTAATGAGTATATGAGCACAGCCGCTAGCTTCATGTGCGAAAGACTCTCTGAATGTGCTAACAAGCAAGGAATCCAGTACATCCTGCAAACTTTTTCACCCTTGACCCCCTCACCTCTGTGATTTAAGAACAAGCAAAGTGATTAACCGAAACATCTGAATAGGTTTAAAAGATACAGCAACAAACTTCAGGTTTTTCTCAAGACAGGAGATGTTAACCTGATTCTAATAGCTTGAACATTAAAGGAACACTCCACTTTTTGTGTAAATAGGCTCATTTCACAACTCCCCAAAATAAAAACAGTTGAGTTGACTCCCCTAAACAGTTGAGTTGTACCATTTTTTAATCCACCAGGTGATCTCTGACTCATAAAACATTGAGTTATATTATTACTGAATCATAAATCTTTGAATCATATTAGACCATTAGCAAACATTTAAGATAATTTTCTTATTTAAATCATGATTCTTTTGTAGCTACACCATGTACTAAGACCAACGAAAAATGAAACTCAAGAAACTTTGCTGCAGTACCATAGCTGTGCAGGATCAATTACATTACGCAGCAGGGTTAGCTTAGTACTATCCCAGTAGACACACAACATCATAAGATGTTAACACTAGATTAGATTTAGGTCGTCAGCCTCTAAGGACAATGTTATTTTGTCGTTGATATTGTTGTACAATAATATTAAATTACGTTGATGTTAGGTTGTGTTAGAAAGTGACCAAAATCAAACGTCGAGCCAACATCCTAAACCAACGTCATATTGACGTCAAATAGTGACATTTATTTGTCAGGTATGGCAGCCAAAATCCAAAGTCTGATAGATGTCATATTGGTAATGTCCACCAAACGTCAAGCTGTAACATCATTAGATGTTGATATTTTGTTGGAACGTAACCAAAATGCAACGTCTGTCTGAAGTTGGACATTGACGTTGGCCTGACATTGGGTTCTTACATCAACTCGATTTCAATTTCCAAACAAATTGCAACGACCCATGAAGTTGGGGTGCATAGTCAATCTGACGTCATGTTGATGTCCTGTGCCTGCTGGGATGATCCAGCTGTAGCCATGGTACATCACCAAAATTCCTTGCTTATTATACCAGTATGAGAGTATAGTTTCTAGCCATATCCACCTAGACAGATTTTTCATTTTCCGTCAGCCTTAACACATAATGTAACTTCAGAAGAATCCAGCTTTAAATAGAAAAAATATTAAAACTCATTTCTGAGTGAGTTGCTAATGGTCTAATAATTCAATTCATTAATCTATGCTAAAGATCAACGTTCAGACCCGAAGATTTGCTGAATGGAGTCAAAAATGGTCAAACTCAGCTGTTTAACTCTAGGGGAGTTGTAAAATGAGCCTATTTTTAAGTGCTGAAATAATGGAAAACTCAATGCTTTATTTTGCGCCATACTAAATCAAATCATGGTCATTATGCACATTCAAGTGTAGTTCAGTAGAGCTGCACACATGATAACGACTGTTAGCTCTACTATGAGTTGCTCCTTCCAACACACAGTAATTGCTTCTGGCCCTCGAGACCTCTGCTGAGCACATAAAGACGGCCTGTAACCTCTCAGCCTCACACACACATACTGACCCCACGGCAGGAAGTGGCAGCAGAGCTGTTTGCGCCCCCTTGCCACCCTCCCCCTCCACCCACTAAATTTTGTGACCAGTTTCATCAAGCACACTCCAACACTCACACTCTTATTTGCAGGGATAAATATAGCAGCATGCAAGGCCTTTCCCCCCTGTTTGGCTGAGGTAAACTTGCCTGTATGCTCTGCACCTCAGCAAGCTTCTCTGCGTTAATACCTGCTCAATATAAATGCTATATTAAACTCACTTTGAAACAAATAGCCAACAAATATTCACAATGTCAAAAGACCAGCAAGTTCATCCAAAATTCTATCACAGAGCAACTTCGTATGAGAATCCGGTAACACTCCTGCTGGTAGAAGCTATAAGTCCACTGCAAGCACAAGGTGTCTTTCTAAATGTATTGGTGTTCAAAAGACGCTGTGGTTTCCTACCACATTTTTAAATGTGAAAATCATGAAAAACCTTTATAGTGAATCTTTTTTTTTTCACCACCAACAAATATTTGAGTACTTAAGCGCATTTAATTAGCTTTATGTCATCATTTATATTCAGAACTGAGAAACAAAGATGGCAGAATCCAGACTGCATACTTCCAGGTGGTTTCATACCATTCTCAGAATTGTATATGGACAGAGCTCCTGGGGCCTCATTTATAAAGCATATACAGTATGAATGGATTTTACACGATGCAAGATCAAATCTGTGTGTACATCCAAAAATTCATGCCAATTGTCACAAACATAAAAGACAATCCTATAATGACAAGCACTTCCCAGTGTCCTTTTTGTCTACCCTCAGTCCAGCAACAAGTCTCTTTTCGTGTACTTGTGTCCAGAGGCTGGGTTTCTCACCTCTATATATAAACAAATAAACAGCTTAGTTCATGAATGATGCCTTGGCCTTGAACTTTTAAAATATGTGCCAGCAAACATTAAAAAATGCAAATGTAGAAGCATCATCTGAATAACATTTGTGGATAAACATCCAAGAGGTGCAAAAGCCTGTCAGATACTATCCTACAGTTTAAAGTTTTCACCTTACTCATTGGATCTTACTCTTTCACTCTTGGTCACCTTTGACTTGACTCTCCCCATTGACTGACTCACCTAACACCACCATAATGGCAGAGGCCCAAAACGACAACCTGAGCTCTCGACTGGCTGAGATCTCCAAAGACTTGGCAAATGACCCGCATGGCACCTTAGTTTCTAATACCCTATAAGAAAATATTGGCTTAATTAAATAGCGAGATTACAAGATCAAACTAATGAGATATATGCACGGTAAAGTTAGACAAGGTCAGACCAAAGGGATTAAGTCTCACTTTCTCAAGTTTAACCAGACCTGGCTGAACATGTGGGAGAAACTATGGCTGTAAATTCTGCACTGGTGGACAAACCTAAACCATATTTCACACTTTCACACTTTTCTTTCTCAGCTTTCACAATTTTTCCAGCAAATGCCTGTTTTTGGGTTTTATAGTTTTGGCGGGATTACATGATATTCAAAGGCTTTTTTTTTTTGGTTCCTCATCATGAGAAGCTGAATGAATTCCTTAGTATAGCAGGACAATGTTAAAAATGACTTTAGATAGTTTCTAATGGCCGAAGGAGGAACTCTGAACATGGCCAAACAGACACACGGCATCCCAGGACCTCGCCAGCAGTTAGACAGGGGGCACTGCCACTGCTTGAACAGTGTGTGGGGTGAGAGAAATATTTGCTCGCCAACTCACAACCAGTCTATACTTAAAAACACTGAGGATTTCACATATCAGGTGAGTGTGAGGGCAAGAGGTAATGCTGACATGAACAACCACATGCACACACACACATCCGAAAGCAATGCAGGGCAAGAGGGAGGAAAATAAATGTAGTATCTTTCACCACATGGTGAGAACTGAGTATGTGCGATGATGGATGATTGTGTATGTGTGTGTGCTCACCTCTCAGCGGTCAGTATGAGAAAGAGAAAGGAGCCGTTTTCAACCTGACAGACTCGGGACAAGGCTGTCTTTCACACATGCCTAACATAAGGGCACTCTCTGACTCTGTTGATTTCTGTGCATAAACACATTCACGCACAAGTGAACTTGTAATTTGTATTATATTATGTTTGTTTATGGGCTTTGCTCTGTCATATTTCCCCTTCAGACATCATGTGTAACCTGCGTGAACTTAGTGTGTTTGATAATTCTGGGAACAAGAACATTCATTATAAACAACACGTGCTGTCATCCTTACCAGGCCAGGGCCTTTTTTTTCCCACCTCTCCAGAAGTAGTGAAAGTGTGCAATGTATAGTCACACACTACATCACCAAAAACACATATACATTTCTCACATGTATGTGTGTGTATTTACACATGTAGGGGCCAACGGTTCCCTCTAAAACAAGTGTACACAGAAGAGCAGCCAGAAAGGATCCAATCCTGACCTGTGTGTTACCAGTGGAAAGTGCAATCAAAGATGGAAAAGGTATTGGTTTTCCTGCATGGATGTGATTGACGGTAAGGTAAGAATAAAAGTCAATGTGATCAGGGTGGATAAATGGTCAAAGCGTGCTTCTTGGAGAAATGATTCGCATTCTGGAGGGAAAATGTGGAGACAAACGCGCTGGGCTTGGCCGCGCAGATGTCATTTGGCTAGAAGGTGAGAAATGTCCTCCCTCATTTCACAAGGCCACAGAAGCTCAGACTTGCAGAGAACGAAAATAAAACAAAAAACCCAAAAGGGTCACTGACGCACAAAAGCTCCACACACCCTGGAAAGCAATGAGGTAATAATCGCACTGTCAAACACACATGCATATATGCGGTCGGTGTGTCCATTCATTTCTGCACGCATGCACAGCTATGGCTGTTTTTTTGCGCCAAGCTCATTTTCTGAAAAACCAAATGAAATCGCTTGTCACTCAAAGAAAAGCCTGTTTGTTTTGAGCGAAGGCAGATTGGGTTCAAGAACTCTGTTAGAGGTTGAGGTCAGATGATCTTCAGCGATAAGCTGAAAAAGCTTTCCACAGTAATTTGGACCGCAAAACACATGTCAGACGACGCTTTAAGATGATAATGAGTGCAGGGCTCATGGGAGGAGAACATCTGCATCAGAAGTGCTTGAATAGTTTTTGTAAACTTGATGTATTTAAAATCCTCTAAATCAGAAGACAACAAATATACAGATTCCTGCCATTCAAAGCAGTTTTGATCCAGTTCAAATCATGCCTGTTGTTCAATTCAGCTTTATTTGTATAGCGCTTTTACAATGTAGATTGTGTCAAAGCAGCTTCACATAAATGGTCATAGTAACTGGAACAGTGTAGTTCAGTTTTTTAGTGTTTAAGTTCAGTTCAGTTCAGTTTAGCTCAGTTCAGTGTGATTTAATCATTACTGAGAGTTCAAACACTGAAGAGCAAATTCATCGATGCGTAGCTCTACCAATCCTGAACCATGCAAGCCAGTGACGACAGCGGAGAGGGAAAAAAAACTTCACCTGATGGGAGTAAAGAAAAAAAACCTTGAGAGAACCAGACTCAGTTGGCACGACCATTTTAATTTCTCCGCTGGCCAAAAGTCTTGTGCAGAGCTGTAGTCTGTTGCCTCTGGCTGTGAAAGGGTTAACTCGCCACGTTCAATAGTTTCTTTTATTTTAAAAAGAAATTTATCAGATATTTTACAAGGGGGCGCAATAAAGAGAACCGCTTTTTTCCTCTGGCCCATTCCACAGTGCGCAGGACTAAAAATACAAATTTCTGTGTAAATTGGACACCAGTCGAGCCTCTCGCTACATAAATGTAGCCTTTGTGTGCCAGTGGAAATGTTATACAAATGACCCCTTTATTAAAATCACACAAAAAAATGTAATTATGTTTATTCAGATCAGCTACAGTTGACCTGAACATAGGGGTGCTACATTACATGAGGGACCAAGGGAGGGGGCGCATTTTCATGTGCAATCTGATGCACCTTGATGTGTTTCCTCATTGTATGCAGAAAGAGAAAAAGATAGGGAGGATGGAGCAGAGCGATTTAAAGTAGTGTATGGCAAGTTTTCCTTGGCACATCTTCTGCTCGGTAATCTCTATTTGTATCACTCATTATTCTGATCCTCAGGTCCTTCTGTATGAATGCATGCGTGTCTGCATGACTTAGTCTGGGGCTGCTGTGTTTATTGGTTCAGAGCGGCAGGTAACGGCACGGGGGGGAGTTCTCCATAGGCTGACTCACAGTCTCAGCGTAAATAAAGATAATATGTCCATTTACTGAAATAGCCCGTTGGAATCTCTCAGGATGTGTGCGTTGGCACGTCTCCATTGGGGTATATGACAGCATTTCTGCACAGAGTGCAAGAGAGAGAGGGGGAAAGCGAGCAGAGGCAGTAAGACTTGAGGTCTCATTATATGGCCATCAGTCACCCTTGGGTGTACCCGCCAAAGAGGGTGTTTTGGAAGGCACATGGGTATGCATAAATAAAAGCAGATATGGGAATTTCAGGCAACGCAGCGAGAATCAGCATCAGCTTAATGCCGAACCACCACCAAAGCCCACGAGACAAGCGCAAAGAACCTAAATGTGGCCAAGCTGAGAGAATGGGCTCCCCTTTGACCTGGAAACACTTTGTGGAGAGAGATTATGGTTGTTCAGTGCAGTGTGAGCGCTCACCCCGGGGACCCCCTTTTCTTTTCTTTTATATCCTCCTACCTTCCTCCTCCTCCCACTACTGCTGCCAAGCCCCCTCTGCTTTCACCCCGTTCCCTGTTCCTAAAGACAAGAGGCTGTTTGAGGGGTTGGTGGTGCGTTCCAGAGGTGAAAAAGGGGCCACACCACGCTGGTGCCAGTCATGCCCGTTTCATGCTCGCTAATCCCGACAAGCCCCAGGAGAGAGCCAGAAAGCAAGAGAGAAGACTGTTCCTAATCCCCCAGGTCTCTACAGGCCGTGCTCTCTGGAATTCTGATCAGAGCCTCAAGCCGTGTAGGCTTTGTCCCAGGGTGTGGGTGTGTTTTTGACCCCCTGGTGGGCAGCTTTATTGCCACCCAGACTTGGGTCAAGGTGAAGACGTGGGGTAGAGGTAAGGGAGAGTTGCCCACTGGGTGAACAGCGCAATGGAGTCAAGGAGTTACTATTGTGACCCAGTGCATAACTAATAAGATTTGTGCATTCTGAAATGATCTTATGTGGCACAGTCAGAGTTAATAGCTCATATTGGTAGCTCAGCCAAAACCTGGAAGACTGTTGAGAGTGGCACAAAAAAGAAAGCTCTGATCTGATATTATGTGGTCTCCCAAAAACCATGCACAGACAAAATACAGAATCATATCACAACTCATCACGCCAGACACACAGCAAGAGAACGCACTTAAATGTAGACTCCTCTGAATACATAAATCTGTCAATCATAGATTTGACCCACTTATGGTTTTATCTGCCGCTGAGTTTTAAGAAGACAGAAGAACAAGTACCACAAAATGAGCTAAATGGCAAAGTTAAAGGACCCGTCTTAAACCTCCGTATGCAGATGTTAATTAGCACTGAATGTTTTCAGAAGCACAAATAAGAGATAACATTTCAGGCTGCACTGTAACTTTCAGTCGCCGTGCAGTCCTGAACTGAGCTGTGGAAATAAAAAATGACAAAAGTTTGGCTCAAATGGACCGCTCCAAATCCTATTGATTTTACACATATAACTCTGAGATGCAGTCAAGTCTGTTTGTTTTTGCAGAGCGCCTGCCAGCTGCATGGAAATTCTCTTCTGGATTTCCAGCAAGTTTGGAGAATCTATTCCTGACCAGAGAATTTGATCTGTACACCACTCAGACCAGGACATTCCTCCCTACTGAATCTCCGCAAATCTCCCTTTAAAGAAACCCACTCCAGCTACTGCAAACCAGTGTCCAGAGACATCCCAATGTGCACCGTGGATTTAATATGGAAAGAATTCTTGAGACAATTTTACAGCTAAGGTTCGCGTAATAAACTCTTTTCAAAATACCACATTATAGCCGCTGGTCTGATCTTAATTTATAACTTTTTTTTATTCATCTGAGCGTTCACAAACTTTCTTACTGCGGACAGTGAGAGAGAGAGAGAGAGACCTCCAGCGTGCACTTTATGCGCCCCACGCGCTGTCTGGGTATCATGACAGAACGGCACGGCATCATTCACAACACGGTGGCTTTTTTGGGAAACCGGCGCGCATAATTACACTGAAGCTCAATAAGAGCGCGACACTATACCTGCCCCCGGCTCGCGATCAATCTTACCCCGCGCGCAAACAGACGCGCTTAGACAAGCGGTGCTCAGTGGCTGTGTTCTCGCGCGCATCGGAAGCCAAGGACTACAATATTTCTGGAACGGAGTGCGCCTTCCTTGGCAGCCGCAAACAGATTGTTCCACGTGGATTGAGAACTGGCTGTATTAAACAAAACTGACGGCTATCTAAAACAGACAGCTTATTAACACCATGGAAATATGGCACGGAAGAAATTACACACGTGGGAATAACTAACCTGCAAGCTGTTCTTATTTTAAAGCGCAATATTGCTCACGAGTGCACACGTGCGAAAAGCATTAGTGGACGTTATCCTACTCTTGAAGTGTCTTTAACAACCCAGTTACCTGCAGGAAAAACTATATGCGCCGAGCCCGCGGTGTCTGGCGCGCCGGAGCGCTGTGCGTGCGACAGCAGGGAGACTGGAAACTTGGAAAGGCACAAGGAGAATGAGCGCTTACCTGAAAGAACCAGTGGCATGTTTCTCCGATGATGGGGAACCCCATGGAGCCCTTGGGCATGGGCAGCTTGCAGCTCTTGTCCCGTGTTGCGGTCCACCTCAGCTGCCAGAGCTGCTGGGACACGGCCAGAAGAAGTGCCATGGACACTAAACACGCAGCCAGCGTCGCCAACGCCGAGACAAGGTCAAAACTCTCGAAGAGCATGGCTGTGAACGTCCGGGGACTTGTCTCAAATATCTCTTTGGAGTGATGAGCAATAAAGTGGTTAAACCTAAAATTAGGAGAGTGACCTACTCTGTTAGATATGACTCTCTGCGACAATTATTCGAAAAAGCACAAATCCAACCCTAAAAGTTTATGTAGAGTAAATGAATAAATAAAATATAGTCGGCTATTTAATTAACAGAATGCTGGATATAACAAATCGATCTTAAATGTGTGTATATCATTTTAAATCATCCAAATCGGTGACCAATATTTCTTGAATTCATCAATTAAATTCAAATTTTTGAAGTGTAAATTTGGAGTGAACTTGTCCAACTTGAGATTGATTCGTTGTTTTAAATTTCAAAAGTAAAAAAGGCAAATATAAGTAATCAAGAAAAAGTTTTAAGTTACTTTTTGAAAATATAAAATAAATTGTTTTAGTTATAATTTTTAAATAGGCCTATATATAATCTTAAAGCTCGATATAAACTCTTTAAATACACTGAAATCAAGTAATGGTCATATGGAAGACGAAGAAATAAATGAAAGAAATAATCCTCCGAAGTTTGATGCCTATGAGCAGTAAAAATCTTCAGATGACTGTAGTGCGTCTCGCTAGCCCGTTTTCTGATGCGGTTTCACTCTCTACCTCTCTCTTGCGCTCCAGCTCTCTCTCTCTCTCTTTCTCTCTCTCTCTCTCTATTTCTCTCTCTCTCTTCACATACAGTTTCTTAATGTGAGTTCGAGTCGCACAGCGAGCCTCCAATGTGTGTTTATATAGCAGAGGCAGTGAGGCGGCATTCGGCCAGGGTGCAAGCGGCTCCCCCCTTACCCCACCCCACCGAACTGAGGCGGGGTGAAAAGTGAACGGGACGGGCGCTGGAGCGTGCGGGACCTGGAAGAGAGCCCAAACAGAAAGAGAGGGAGAGGGCGGAACACTTTCAATATTTCAAATCTCATTTACGGTCGGGAACTTGTCACCTGCCACTCGCGGAATACGCACAGGGTTAATTCATGTTGTGGACTTAAAATGCGCTCAAACTGAGGTACACTGATTACCCAAATGATGGTTTAAAACCATCACAACAAAAATGTGAAATAATACTCTACATTTTACCGGATCATATAAGCTACGGACTCTTATGCTAAATCGATATGTTCATGACTTTTTCAAAATGTTTTGATTGTTCAGATGCGCATCTGTTGCACACAGCAGCAGCAGCAGCAGCAGCAGCAGCAGTCCTCTGAACACTGCATGAGTAAGCGATTCATTCATTGACTTACGCGTTTCATATTTGTTTTGCGTTTATATTTACAACTTTCGGGGGTTGATGTTATAAGTCGATTTCTATAAAATAATGTAAATAAATCCCTCATAAACTGGCAGTGTTTTCTTAATTATATCAGATAGTCCTTGCCAAAATTATTGATATGGCCAAATATTTCGATCTGTGAAGCGCGTTTCTATGAATGCTTTACCTTTTGTGCCGATAAAAATATTCATAAAAAGTAGGCTAAAACATTTGATCTATCTATCTATCTATCTATCTATCTATCTATCTATCTATCTATCTATCTATCTATCTATCTATCTATCTATCTATCTATCTATCTATCTATCTATCTATCTATCTATCTATCTATCTATCTATCTATCTATCTATCTCACAACCAGGGCTTGACCGATTCGTGCTGGTGTCATCTATCACAGATGGGACGTGGTTTCAATTACGGTCACTATCTGATCATAATCACTCAAGGGCAGCTCTGTACTGATTTTGAACATATGAGAGACAACCATTACAGAGCAGAACCCCAGCTGTTTCGCTCACCCTCTTCTCGGCGCACAGCTGATGCGCAGGATGGGACGCGCAGCTGGAGCTGGAGACTTACAGACAGACGGAGAGATGCTCTTTTCGCTTGAAAGATGATGAGAGTTCTAGAGCGCGCGCGCCTTTAGTTAAACACCATTCATTTCTCCAGTGAGAGTTTGAAACTGTGCGACTTGAGCATTCTAAGCATGCCCATTTGTCCATTTTCTAAGCCATGGTAAATCAGTCTCATTTTTGCACTGAAAAAATGCAAGAGATTTCTGTCTTTTGTGAAGTTTTCCTTAGACATTCTTTCGCTCATGTCGTCTGCCGCTGTCTACCTGCATGCGTCTCTCAACGTCACACTGCCGCCTAGCGGAGACTGAGCGAACGTCTCAGCCTCTGAATCCAGCGCACGCACCTACAGCGTTCATTATTCGTTCATTTTCTTTTCGGCTTAGTTCCTTTACTAATCTGGGGGTCGCCACAGCGGAATAAACCGCCTGTTTAACATTAGTAGGCTTCTAAAATATAATGAAAAATAATATTGGAATTAAATGAAATACTTTACAATACATCAACAATTGAAGTGTTCTTTGTTTTAAAATAAACCATTTGTGTCAATTAAATCTGATATCATTCATTTTTCCTTCGGCTTAGTCCCTGTATTAATCTGGGGTCGCCAACTTATTCAGCTTATGTTTTACACAGTGGATGCCCTTCCAGCTGCAACCCATCACTGGAAAACACCCATACACACTCAATCACACACATACACTACAGACAATATAGCTTATTCAATTCGCCTATACCGCATGTCTTTGAACTTGTGGGGGTGAAATCGGAGCACCTTGAGGAAACCCACGCCAACACAGGGAGAACATGCAAACTTCATACAGAAATGCCAACATGATCAGCCTGGACTCAAACCAGTGGCCTTCTTCTTGTGAGCTGACAGTGCTAACCACTGAGTCACTGTGTCACCCATACATCTGATATCTAGGTAGTTTTCTAAATAACATTCTTCTTATCGTTGTTTCTCTTGGGCAAATGAGCTAAACGGGCAAAGACGTACAGCTCGGAGAGCATTTCACATCTTGACGAACTCTTGTTTGATGTGAGAGAATTAGCAGTGACGCAAGGTCCTCCTGAGGGGCATGGAATTACCCGATTTATTCCAGAAGCCTATTAAAGTGGATGGGTTGAAGGTGCTGGTTGATTCATGAAATGTTGCTATGGGGGATTTGTAAACTGCAAGGCTTTGCAAAATGGGCATAGCTTCTAAATTCTTGTTACTAAATATTGTTTCAGAGGAAGAGCCAGCCACTGAAATTTGATTAATGTTTATGAAGACAACCAGTCTTTGGAATAACAAACGAATCTTAATGAGTTTTGTTTGAGAGAGGAAAGTTAAATGGGGAAAACCTGAAATGCAACCTATCATAACTTAAGTGTGAAGGGTCACATATAGGGTAACCGCAATGTTTATGCGTGTTTTACTGTACATGCAATATAAGGTTGCAGGCAGTCTATTGACAGTAATAAAAAATAACTACTGCTAACCCTCATTAGAGTATTATTAAGGTTTTAGTTAGGGTTAGGAGTAGGGTTACGGTTGACAACAATAAATTGACAACCCAAAGTCAGTAGAAGTTTTTTTCAGGGGGGCCTTCAGCACTTTCACCTTACAGCAAGAAAGTCCGCTGGTTCGAGTCCCGGCTGGGCCAGTTGGCATTTCTATGTGGAGTTTGACATTCTCCCCATGTTTGTGTGGGTTTCCTCTGTGTGCTCCTGTTTCCCCCACAGTCCAAAGACTTGTGCCAAATGTGAACTGAATATGCTAAATTGGCAGTAGTGTATGTGTGTGTGAATGTGAGAGTGTGGGGGTGTTTCCCAGCACTGGGTTACAGCTGGAAGGGCATCCGCTGCATAAAACATAAGATGGATAAAGTGGCGGTTGATTCCACTGTAGTGACCCCTGATGAATAAAGGGACTAAGCCAAAGGAAAATGAATGAAATGGTTACTTTACTATGTCCCAGAACAAAATAATGTACTTTTTGTCCCACAATGTAATATAAATGTGATAAAAATGTATTTTGAACTGAAAGCACCTTGGAGATGTGATAGCAGTGTGTCAGAACGGGATATTATTTAAGCCTGGATAAAGTGACTGATGACGCAAAATAAAAATGACTAATATCGAACTTTAAGATATATTATTGTAAATTAACATTTATATTTAGTTAATAACAGTCAGTTGTTTGTAAAGTAAATATGCTGAAAAATGGTGAATGTTTAACATTTGTATATTTGAGTATCCCTGTCTAAATGGGGAAGGTTTTATTCAAACAAATTTGACCACACTTTGCCCTGTATGAACTCTTTTTAATGTGTTTTATATTTAAATGTCAACACACATGTTGTGTTTAGTTGTTTTTGTTATATACTAGACTATATTAGATACTTTATCTTTATTTTTATAAGTGACAAGTTCATTCATTCAATCTTTCAGCTTAGTCTCTGTTTCAGCTGTTGCCACAGCGGAATGAACCACCAACTATTCCAGCATATGTTTTATACAGCGAATGCCCTTTCCAGCCACAACCCAGTATTAGGAAACAGCCATACACTCTCATTCACACACATACAATACAGCCAATTTTAGTGTTTTTAATTCACCTATAGCGCATGTCTTTGGACTGTGGGGGAAACAGGAGTATGCGGAGGAAACCCATGCCAACACGGGGAGAACATGCAAACTCCACGCAGAAATGCCAACTGGCCTAGCCATGATTCCAGCAACCTTCTGGCTGTAAGGTGACAGTGCTAACCACTGAGCCACTGTGCCATCCTGTGTGACAAGTTTTGGTAGCAAAATAAATCCTTTCTTACAAATAAAATACTTTTATTTTTGAAAACATTAAAAATAAAGTACAATTTTACTTTAACTCAGGTGAAATCAAAAAGCAGCGCTTAGTAAACTTCACTGGAGTGATATTTTATATGGGTTCTTGATCCACCACTGACTCTAGCTGACATTGCATAGTTACAGTCAGGCCCGGATTGGCTAATCGGGAGGACCGGGAGAATTCCGGGTGGGCCGGTGTCCCTAGCTCCAGAATCTCGCTCTCAGCAGTCACACTTTTTAAATTAATTTATTTACTTACTTGACCACAGTCTTCTTATTCATTATTTTACCGCAGCTCTGCTCTTTTTATATATAACCAGCCTGCAGGTTAATGATGATATAACTCAGATGAGCCACCTCTCTGTATACAACTGTTGTGGTCCAGTGTTAGATTATGAGGCCACCGTCCCGGGTTTGATTCTCATTTGAGCATGTTATTTTTTTCATTTTAATTGTTAAGACATATAATACTGTTAGGGTTAT